GACCACAAGAAGCATGGCTCCATTCCTGTTTGACATCACAGACTGCTTTCAAAGCGTTTTTGCACTGCAAAGCAGTTTGTGATGTCATGAACAAGGAATAGATCCATGCCCCTCACAGCTTGGTTGTGTTTGAGATAAAAACAGACTTAATTTGCAAATTCTTTTAAAAAACCAATATTTAAACAAAATGCTACACTTCTCGAACCATCATATCAGTACAATATTGAGATTTCTGCTGGTGGAAAAAGATTATTTGAGTTATAGGCACTTCAAGACCATAGTGTAGAAGGCTCTTTTCAAAGGAGTTCCAAAATAACTTTAAAATATTAGAGTGCATGCCAAGACCCTTTCAAAATTGGTACAACTGTGAAACACCAGATTGTCCTTGTGAAGTCATAGTTGACTGAACGTGATGTAGGAGAGACTGCTCATCATTTTTTTGGAGCAGACGACATCAATGGTGTGTACCCAAAGGATGGGGTACTTGGGTGACTGCTGCTAGCTCTGGGATTGGACACAGCTTGTTGTGCAAAATTATGGCTTTGATAATGAAAATCATCAGAATAAGAACTGCTATAAGGATGGAAATTACCATGGGGTTGCATGTTTGGATTGCTGTTGGGCCACACATCAACTGGAAGAACCTCATTTCCTGTTCTCTAGACTGTTTCATATCTTCCCTTAAAATTTGCAAAAGTTCTTTGGTGATCATTCTCAATAGTACTTTGAAGTAGTTCAACAGCTTTTGCCATCTGCTTAGTTTTAGCTCTTTTATAGGCAGGTTTCTTTGCTAAGAAACGTTTACCCTTGGATGGGACTTCTCCACTGCTATCCATAAGGCTGGATGAAGTGCTTGCACAGTCATCATCATCACCATCAACTTCTTGATCATTCTTGCTGGTATCTTGCTTGTCTACGTTTCCAATATGTACAGAGGGTTCACATGCATTTTCTCGTTGACATGAATCTCTAGTTTTAACAAGTACATAAAGAAGGTCAAACCATTTACCATATCCCCGTTCTTCAACAAACCTTTCAATACCTGAAGCAGTTTTCTTTGTCATGCGGATCTGCTTACACGTACTAATGCATGACTTAAATTTATTTCTCATTTGTTGCTCTTGGAAAGGAAAATCACT